TGAATTCCCTATCAGGTAGTTCTAGTGCCTTTTCTTCTACTGGAAAGTCATCTGGTGTTTTATTTTGGATGCCTACTGGAACCATCCTGTCCTGTTTTTGAAATGTTTTGATATTTTCTGCTGTCTTCACAGCATTTGGTAGTTATTTTCCTTGTTTATTGATTGTAGATTTGTTTGTTTCATCCTGCTTTTTTGTTTTATTTGGCTATGTCTGAGCAGTTGGCCGTGCATTCTTTGTTGTTTGCTTGTCTGTGGGAATGATACTTTTCACCTCCTTCTCCAATTCCCAGTGTCAGTCTCTCAGCTATGGTGCAGCAGGGCAGGTCTAGCTGAAGAGGAGTTGCTGGGATGGGTTGTTTGTGGCACCTCCTATGGCCAGCAGGGCAGGCCAGTAATCAGTGCAGGGCTGGTTCCAGTAGGCTGTGCCTTGGCTGCTTGTGGTGTGATGTTCAGCACACAGTGTAGGTAGGCAGGATGAAGGGGGAGATTGTGATGTGTGAAGCTAAGATGGGTATGGGAGAGAGGAGAGGAACAGATCCAAAAACACAGAAACAAACAAAAATGAGTGCTAGGGGAGCTTGCCATTGGAGTGGAGAGATGATAGACTATGAAATGGAGAAAAACAAAAAGGAGAAGAAGAAAAAAAAAAAGAAAAGAGAAGAATAAAATGAATAAATAAAAATTAGAAAGAAAAAAGAAAAGAAAAACTCCCAATGATCCCACTGGTGTGGCTGTGAGGTCTGGGGATGTTGCTCCCAGGCTGTGAAGTACAGCTTGGCTAGAAGGGGTAGAGGTGCCACTCAGCACCAGGTATTCAGGGGACAAGAAGAGAAGGAAAGTATAGAGAGATGAGAAACTGAATAATGAAGAAAGATAAAAAGGGGAAAAGAGGTAAAACAAACAAAACAAATGAATTAAAAAAAGAAGAACAAGAAAACCCCCAATAAACAGAAGAAAAAAATACAAGAAAAAAGAAGTGTCCTCAGGGATCCCTCTGCAGGTCTGTGCAAACTGAGGGGGTAGGTCCCAAGCCGCATAGTACTGCCAAGCTAGAAAGGGCCCCCAGTTCGAGAAAAGAAAAAGAAAACAATTCAAAACAAACAAGTAAAAGCCCCGGGATCCCACCAGCATGGCAGCACCGGCCGGGAAGCAGTTTCACATTCAAGTGGCATTTCACAGCCTTTCAGGAAGAAGCAAAGATGGCACACGGAGCCAGGTATTTGAGAGAAAGGAGGGGGAGGTGGTGAGAGGTAAGGAAGAAATCTAAAGAAGCGAAAGAAAGCAACATCAACAGCCAACAAATGGCACTTAGGGAGCTGGCCAGTGCAGGCGGTTGGAATCCAAGCAACACTGCTGAAGCTGGTGCTTCCCAGCCAAGAGACTGTGGCCACGGGAAGCAGAGGGGGCCGAGTAGAGGTGAAGATGGGTGGGGGGTGGGAAAGCATATATATATCGCTGGTTACTGGTTGTTCTGTCTCCTGCTGGAAGTTCGGTGAAGCTGCCTTCTCGCACCCCATTTGCTGATCTCTGATAGGAGTCCAAGATGGCGGATCCGCGGTGTGCTAGCTGATAGGGGACCTCTGCATGTATCTCTTCTTGCTCTCTGCTCTCTGACAGTTTCTTATTCCATTCGGTGCTTGGCTGAGTTCTTTATCTCTTCATTTGATGCTTAGGGTTTCAGGATTGCCGTTTTCTCTGTTTGTCTTAGTTTTTTTGATCTTTGCTGTAGAGGGATGGTGTGGTTTTTCTGCATATAGCACCATGGTGCCCAGAAGTCCAATGGGCTGTTCATTATTATCCTTGAAGGGGCATTTCCTTATTAATATTTTATTCTATTACTCCTTATTACTCTATGGGCTTATTAATAAGAAAAACACAATCTGAAATCCAGTACTTTAAAAATGATACTTATCATGATATCCAGGTTCCTTTAATTTAGTTTTCAAATTATAGCTCCATACAGATTTTAGTCAATGATATGATTATAAATTACTTAAGAAAAAAATTGTTATGCTTACCATTTAAATCTTTAAAACCCACAGTGTAGTTAAATTCAGCTCTGGTCGGTTCTGGGTCAGGGGGAGGAAGAGTGTCAACTCCTAAACTCTGTGGAAACAGATCCCCATTGTACCCCCACCCACCAAAAACAAAAGTCATTTATGATATAAACATTTTTGAAGCATATTTTAACATTAAGTAAAAAAATATATATTTTTCACACATTTTATCTCTCTCTCTATATATATATATTAAAAATCATATCCTTACTCAAAAATGTTTTATGTGATGTTTGTTTCTCTAAAGAAAATTCCAACTTAACAGTTATTCTAGAAGGCACATCTAGAAACAAAACAGGTCACCTGAGAATGCTGAGAATAAGTTATATTATACTCACAATTTAAATTTTCAAGCATATTTTTATGTCTATAATCTCAGAATTTCACCTGTTCTTAAACATGAATGCTTTTATGGTAGTGAATGAATCTTTAGATGTTAATTTGTTCTAGTGAATAATATTCTTGTTCATCTTTTAAATTGAAAAAAAAAACCCATCATTATATATGAGAAAAAATTAATAAAATATAATCACTTGAATCAAGAAGGTAAAAACAAAATTAGCTCAAGCAAGTTAGAATCAAGGATAAAATGTAAGAAAAAAATGACTGCAATCTCAGAACTGATTTCAGAAATTGGAAGGAACATGCAGAAATTGATTAGAAAAAGAAGAGCTTCATGGATGAACTATGGGGCAAACATCAGAACAAAAAAATTTGTGAAATAAAGTACAGAAATTCGTTAACTGTGTTTTTAATGCTATGATTAAGAAGTCTAACATCACAATTAGGGTAGCTAACTAATTTTTTTTTCCTTCAGGAATATAATTTGTTCTAGCATTTAATAACATTAGAAGTAGTTCTCAACAAAATTTTAATATTGAAATTAAAAAAAGAAAGCCAAAATAAAACAAACAGAAAAGGATTCTAGAAACATGAAGAGCAAGGGAAAAAAGAGAGGAAACTGGTTTTAGGAAGAAAGTACTTTAATCATAGGAAGCAATCCAAAGCCCAAGATGAAGCTAAGTATGTAGCATTTCTATCTAAATGAGGTGGCCTGTGAAATAATTTTAGGTGATACACAAAAAAACAAATGTTTAAAATTTAAATCGTTTGGATCTATTTGGATGTTTATTAAGAAAAAAATAAATTAGAACATCTAACCTGCTTGAGATGAAATTTAATTCTAAAAAATCAACAAAAGACCAAGAAAATAAAAGGGCAGGTGCGTTGCAAGTATGGCAAAAATCATGAAGGTGATGTAAGTTAAGTTTGAGAACACTGCTCTATACTGATCTTAAAAACCATACGCTCAAAATTTTATTTCATTAGAAGTTTCATAACGGTGGTTTTCTAATTCTCATTCTTTCTTAATGTATTAGCTGGACTTTTTCTATAAAGAAGAACTTTCTCTCATCAATTATTTATTTACTCTGAAATACAGTTTGACCAGGACTGTAGATTCTCTCCTTTTATTTACCAGTTTTCAGAGTAACAAGTTAATGCCCTGGCAACTTCCAATGGTGACCATTAAAGGGTTTTTGTTTTATTTTAGGGATCTTTATGAACTCATAGTTTATTTACTTTTTGCCATGTTGAAATTTGAAATTTTTGTATATTTAAATATATCTCACTTTTTCTTTTATGGCTTCTGAGTATTGTGTCTTGCTTAGGAAAGCTATCTGCATTTCAAGATGATATAAAAATTTCTCCTGTGTTTTCTTGTATATGTGTTTCATATATTTAGATCTTTGATTCATGGAACTCATTTGGGTGTAAGGTATGAGGTAGAAATTCAGGGTTTCATCTTCCAGGTGTGTTATCCCAACACTATTTATTACATTCAGCAAATACTCCTCCTTTTCCCAGTTATTTAAGATGCCAACTCTATAGGATTTTAAATTCCTATATATATTTGGATCTAATTCTGCTTCAGTAATCTGGTTTAACATAACATTACTCTTCTTTTTCAAATTTTCCTGGCTATTTATGGATTTAAATTTTCTTTATAAAACAGTAGAATCGACTGGGTTCCCTTTTCCCACAAAACATCCAGTTAATCAGTTAATATATACATTGGTTTCCAGAGTGTGTGGATGTGTATGTATGTATTTATAAAAGGAAGTAGTTTTCTACTACATACATATATGTGGTAGGAAACTACTATATATATATATGTATATATGTATATGGTAGGAAACTATTGCCTTTTCTAATTAATTGTGAACAAAAAGCCTTACAATGTAATTGTTTTTAGTTGATTCTTTGTGTTTTCTGGGACAGTACAGTGGACACTGTATTGATTTCTAAATTGTTTCACAACAAATTTCAAATTGTTGACTCCTAAAAGTCCTTTTCTGAGACTACACAGATATAAACACTCATAACTTGTCTAAAGTGGAAAAAGGGGAGGCTGAAAGGGGAAATGATAAACATTTTCTATTGTTTTGGTGGCTTTAATATTGCTCCCAGATTCTGAGTGACTGTAAACCTATCTGGGGGACGCCTCCTGGCATCACAGATATGTTCCTTCTTTCCTCTTTCTCCCCAGAGTTGAGATGATTTGAGGGACAAGGCATGATGCGTGGCGCCAGGTGGAGAAGTACGTGATTACGGGTAGACAACTTAGTCAGAACAAAGTGTAGAAGGAGGAACAAATCGTGTTCTTTTTCTTCATTTCCTCAAACTTTGAGCTGACCTTTATCTGAAGCTTTTCAAGTGAAATATACACTTTTGAAGATGCAGTATTTAGGAGCTGTGCTTCGAAGTTTCTTTTTTATAATTGTTGCCACACTAACACTGTGAACACTGTGGGTAGAACATATGGAATCCCTGGGTGGTGCAAATGGTTAACACCCTTGGCTTCTAACTAAAGGGTTAGAGGTTTAAATCCACCCAGAGGCACCTCAGAAGAAAGGCCTGGTACTCTCCTTCCCCAAAACCAGCCATTGAAAACCCTGTGGAGCACAGTTCTACTCTGACATACATGGGGTCGCCATGAGTCAGAATCAACTCGATGGCAACTTGTACTGGTTGTTGTTAGTTGCTGTCAAGCTGATTCCAACTCATGGTGACCCCATGTGTGCAGAGCAGAACTGCTTCATAGGGTTTTCAAGGCTGTGACCTTGCAGAAGCAGATCACCAGGACTGTCTTCCAAGGTGCCTCAGGATGGGTTCCAATCACCAACCTCTGGTTAGTAGTTGAGCGCTTAACCATTTGTACCACTAGGGACTCTCCACTGGTACTGGTAGAAGATAGCAATTTAGAAAAAGATGAATTGTGTACCTGTTCTAATAATTATTTTATGTGGGTTTTCTAAGTTATAAAACTAATATTAATCATTACAGAAACTTAGAAATACCAGAAAAACAAAAGGAAGAAAAATATAACCAAATACAAATCCACCTGGTTAATTGTATTATTTAGAAAATTTATATCTTTATTTCTCAAATCAATCTATCAAAGACTGAGAGAGAGCTATATTAAAAGTTCCCACAACTTTTGTCTTTCTATCCTTCTATCTTTGTATCTCTCACATTGATCTATATGCTGCTATATTTTTCAACATGAAAAGGTCCACGACTGGTAAAACTTGAATTTGATTTGCAGTTTTTCTTGATGAAAATAACTCTTTTCCAAGTTAATATTTTTTCATCATGAATCTTCCTTTGTCTAATGTTATTATTGTGATTTTATCCTTCACTTACTTTTTGCTATATTTCTGTATATATCATGCCCACCACTAAACTTTTAATGCCTCTGACTCATTTTGATGTAAGGTGCCCCTTCTAAATAGCATAACATTGGATTGTGCATTGGATTGTAGTTTCTGATCCAATTGGAGATTTTTGCTTTTCAGGAGGGGAGTTTATTCCTGAATTTATGTTTACTGTCCTAACTGACATCTGGTCTTCTATCATCTTGTTTTATATAATTTTCATGGTTATTCTTTTTAGGTCAGCAGTTAGAATCTGCCTGCCATTCCTTGAAAACCCCATGGGGCAGTTCTACTCTGTCCTATAGGGATGCTATGAGTCGGAGTCAACTTGACAGCAGCAGGTTTTTTTTTTTTTTTCATGTTTTATTATTGCTTTATTTGTTTTCTATCTTTTGCTATTTGGTCTGTTTTCTTTCCATGATCTAGAGGGCATATATTAAATTTTTAACTCTACTAGTAGCTACATTAACTTATTTTAAGAAAATATCTGAATTATTATTTTCTAACTATCAACCTCATGAGAAAATATCTACTATCTATCCCCCCATATATTAGTACATTATCAAACTTTATCCAAATTTTTTAGTATAACCCAATCAGACTCAGTTCATTATTATTATATGAATTACTGATGTGACATTTTCTTTTAAGAATTGTTTATGATATTTACCTCTTGATTAATAACCATCTAAATAAGTAATTTAGACTTATTTCTGTGTTTAAAGTATTTCATTGCTGACTGACAATCATTTTATACTCAAATTTCCCATTTTTTATTTATTGCTCAATTCACTAGCAATTTTTCAGGACATGCATCTGTATGTGTACATACACACACACACACACACACACTTTTTCTCTCTATGAAAAAATGCTATACATATATATATATATATGTATATATATGAGAGAAAGAATGATAAAGTAAATGGGGTACCATGTTAAGAAATGAGACATCTGGGAGAAAAGTAAATATCAGTTTTTCTGTACTACTCTTTCAACTTTTCTAAATCTTGAAATTATTTCAAAATAAAAAAGTTAAAATCACATTATTACATTTTAGTTCCCTTTAATTTTTTACTTATTTGAGATTAGAAAGCCTAAGACTTTTCCACCCCACCCAAAGAAGAATAGAATAGGCACAAAATTCACAAACAGGAATCAGAATATCAGCTTTTCTATGACTAGGAAAATACTCAACAATCTCAAAGGGCATTTGCTAATGACCAAATTGAAGGACAGATTTTAGACCCAAAGACAAAGTAGGACCTTTTCCTTGCCCTGAAATCTTGAGACCTACCTGTTAGGAGAGCTGTACTTGCCAAACAAACCCTCTGACTACGCCCACTTGTGCACAATAAAGAAAGAACAAACACCAGAAGGGTCTTGAGTGAAGGCCGGTCCAAGAGTCTTGGAGGGGACTCTTTCCTACTTTTGAGTTACAATAAGAATACTCAACTGTGGTCCTCTGAAAATTCCAGACTCTGAACAACCAGAACTGTCACCCCTTCCCACCAGCAGGAGAAGTCACTAAACGGGCAGAGAAAAGACCATAAACGTTCACTCAAATCTTCCTCCTCATGGAGGCAAAGGGAAAAGTCCTTTCATCTATGGAAACATGACTACCATTCTAACATTCACCTTTTAACCAGCGCCCTTTCCATCTAAGCCTACTGTCTCATATTTTGTCTCTTCTTTCACAGAATCCAGATGTTCTTGAATTTTATTGGTACTATAAAGTAGATGTTAACTAGGCTTGGTTTATTTTTCTTATAATATGTATTTTTCAAAGCACAGACTATTCTCCATTTATTTTATAGAAAACTTAAAAAAATCCCTATCTTTTTTAGGAATATTGGGGTATTCTTATTTTGACATTTTATGCTGAAATTGATGAGCTCTACTTTCTGAATCAAAGAAGCATTTCTGAGGAGACTGTAAGACACACTGAAGCTCACATGACTTTGTAAAGCAGGTGCTATTAACCTGGGTCAGTGGTCTTTGGGCTGGCGGTCACTGGGCTCCCGTCTGCCTGACAATGAGGGTGATCCCTGAGTCAGCAGCCTTCATGGTACTTTGAGGGGACTAAATTCTTATGGTCTAATCAGTAAGCCACAATAACTCCCACTTGCTCCTTTAAAATACAGCTGTTCTTCAAAGGTTGGTAAAGAATCTTTACTAAAGATCATGTAAGTTTCTTAGCTAGTCTTTATATGGGTAACCACAGGGGAAATTGTTCAGTGATGGTGGTGTTGGTAGTGGTGGGGATATACTCAAAGAAAATTCCTCCATTGGCCAATATTTGACCATGATGAGCATGAGCGCTGCCATAACAGAATGTATGTGGGACCAGTGTATTGAATTAACTGAACTCAGAGTATAATCAGGAAAAGGCTTTATTTTTTCTCTACCATGGCCACATCACAAATACATAATATTGTCAATCTCCAGTTGTTGTTTTTTTTTTAAGACCGCTCATTCAGATCCTTCATCATATTAAAATTAAATTCTGTAACTACATTTTTTTTCTAATTTGAAAGTTAAGAAGGGGAGTTTACCTGGGTTAGGAGATCCATCTCTCCCAGCAAATTGCTGAACATTTGGTCTATATCATCACTTGACTCACCCATCTGAAAAAGAAAGAAATCCAGACATCAACAGCTGAATAAAATTCTGATGTCTGGAGAAATATCACAACTCCTTTTTTCTTCAAGGATCCCATCCATGGGCAGGGAAGTTCAGAATAGAAAGATATGGAGAACATTCATCTCAGTCTGAGATTCCAAGCCTGACCACCCTCCAATTTGGCTTGGTCCAAGACTGAACCAAACCCTGGGAACTGCATCAGAATGAACATGATCACCTAGGAGGTTAAGTCTCTCTACCAGGTTGGACTAAAGCAGTCTGAACTGGAACAGAAATAAATGGGTGGTATTTCCCACTCTGGAGTCTATTTTTCCAAACTAAATTAGTCTCTTTGGGGCCAAGTGGATTAAGTGTACATCATTCAGGAATTCAACTCACCATAACCAAAAAAACCAAATCCATTGCCATCAAGTCAATTCCGACTCATAGGGACCCTTAAGTACAGAACAGAACTCCCGCATAGGGTTTCCAAGGCTGCAAATCTTTATGGAAGCAGATTGTCACGTCTTTCTCCCATGGCGTGGCTGGTGGGCTCAAACTGCTGAACTTTTGGTTAGCAGCTGAGTGCTTAACCACTGTGCCACCAGGGTTCTTCAACTCATCATAGGGCACTCTTATAGAATAAAGTGTCATCCATACCACAGATGATTATGTCACAAGAGATGCAGAACACCAGCTCCACTTAGAAACATATACCATAAAGAGATGTCAGGAGTGATTAAACATATTTACCAAATTCCCTACTTAACAAAGATATCTCTGAAATCAAAGTTTTAATACATTTATTTAGAAGTATTGGGGCAATGGACACTTAGAACTAAAATGGCTAGACAGTCAATTGAAAAAATCAGTGAAGATTGAAATATAACATTTTTTTTGGGGGGAAGGGGTTAACAGTGATGGAAATATCGCATTGATTAAGGGTAGGGTTGCACACTTGATTACTGTAATTGCTGTCAATAAGTTGTACACCTGTAAAAAGCTGAATTGGCAAAAGATGTGTGGTAGATATATTTACAACAATGACAAAAAAATGGAGTAACTACTGAGGCTGCTTATGTACAACCAAACACTTTATGGAATTTGTTCCTTGGTTCAGAGGTTTAGGGTCATGGTTTCATGCGATATCCCAGTTAATTGGCCTAATAACGTGTTTAATGCCTCTGTTCTACCTCCTAGTTCGTTGCACAGTGCCTGGGGTCTTAAAAGCTTGCAAGTGACCATCCGAGGCACAATAATCGGTCTCTATTTGCCTGCAGCAACAGAGGAAGAAGGAAAATCAGGAATAGGAGGGGAAATGGAATTTGTGGCTAATTGCCTCCATAACAACTGCCACCTCTGTCATGAGACCAGAGGAACAAGATGGTGCCCAGCTACTATTACTCAACATTTTGATCAAGAATCCTGATCAAAAGAGGGAAAATGTCAAACAGATTTTAAAATTCTCATGGACTCCAGACTTTCTGGAGCCATGGAGGCTGGATGAACCCCTGAAACTACTGCCCTGAGATAATATTTAAACCTTAAACCAAAAATATTCCCTGAAATCTTCTTAAAACCAAACAACAGTTTAAAAAATGTCTGCCTTGAGCACTATGCCTTTTTAAGAACTATCTGTATGGGATCAAACTGACAACAGCAACTTGAAAGATTAGATAGGAACATCAGGGGGCAGTGAATTTATGTTAATGGGGGAGGAACAGCTCAGAAAAGGAGGGCGAGAATGGCTGCATAACTTGAAGAATGTAATCTATGTCACTAAATGGTACACGTAGAAACTGTTAAATTGGTGTATATTTTGCTGTGTATATTCTCAACAACAACAAAATAAGTAAAATTTTAAAAAAATCAACGAAGATGAAAATAGAATATTTTTTAGATTATAACCTTTCTTTGCCTAAACTAAATGAAGCAATTGTCCAAGAGAAGGAAAGTATTGCAGTAAGACAGGGGCTGGGATACCCTGTGAGGTATAACTACCTGCTCTCTTTCTTGACACTTTGGGCAGTACTAGATCAGGAAACTAGGTGAGATGACTGTGAGAACTCCCTCAGCCACTAATCCACAGTGCGTTGTTTGGCAAAGGGAATCAGCTGCTTCATCTGTACAATTAGGAGTTTGCCTCAGATAATTTCTAAGTGTCATAAGTGCTCTAAAACAAGACGGATTAACACTGATTACATCACAAGCTAAGAAGTCTGATGAGTGTAGAGGATCAGTATATTATTAAAGCCAAACAATATTTACAGTAGTGTGTATATGTGTTATATGTGTGTCATGGATTGAATTGTGTCCCCCCAAAAATATGGGTCAACTTGGCTAGTCAATGATTCCCAGTATTGTGTGACTGTCCACCATTTTGTCATCTGAGGTAATTTACCTATGTGTTGTAAATCCTACCTCTATGACGTTAATGAGGCAGAATTAGAGGCAGTTGTGTTAATGAGGCAGGACTCAATCTGCAAGATTAGGTTGTGTCTTAAGCCAATCTCTTTTGAGATATAAAAGAGAGAAGCGAGCAGAGACAGGGGAAACTCATACCGCCAAGAAACAAGAGCCAGGAGAATAGCACGTTCTTTGGATCCGGGGTCCCTGTGTTGATAAGCTCCTCGACTAGGGGAAGACTGACGACAAGGACCTTCCCCCAGAGCCTACAGAGAGAGAAAGCTTCCCCTGGAGCTGGCACCCTGAATTTAGACGTCTAGTCTCCTAAACTGTAAGACAATAAATTTGTTTGTTAAGTTATCCACTTGTGGTATTTCTGTTATAGCAGCACTAGATAATTAAGACAGTGTGTTGTGTTTTAACCTTTTTTATATGGAGACTTTTAAACACATACAAAAATAGAATAATATAATGAATTTCATGTATCCGTTGTCATGTATCCATATCTTCCCCTCAACAGACTATTTTGAAGCAAATATCATTTCTTCGTAAGTATTTCAGTATGTAGCTCTATAAGATTAAGATTTTTTTAAACCATCTCTTTGTGTATGTGTGTTTAAAATAAATTATTTGGCTAAGATAGGTATCTTAGTCATCTGGTGCTGCTATAACAGAAATACCACAAGTGGATGGCTTCAACAAGCATAAGTTTATTCTCTCATAGTCTAGTAGGCTAGAAATCCAAATTCAGGGCATCAGCTCCAGAGTAAGGCTTTCTCTGTTGGCTCTGGAGGAAGGTCCTTGTCATCAATCTTCCCCTGGACTAGGAGCTTCTCTGAGCAGGAATGCGAGGTCCAAAGGACACACTCTGCTCCTGGTGCTTCTTTCTTGGTGTATGAGGTCCCCCATCTCTCTGCTCACTTCTCTCTTTTATATCTCAGAAGAGATTGGCTCAAGACACAATCCAATCTTGTAGATTGAGTCTCGCCTCATTAACATAACTGCCACTAATCTATCTCATTAACATCATAGTGATAGGATTTATAACACAAAGGAAAATCACATCAGATGAGAAAACGGTGGACAACGACGCAATACTGGGAATCATGGCATAGCCCAATTGATACACATATTTTGGGGGACACAATTCAATCCATGACAATAGGCTAAATCAAGGCAGATCTATCTTTCCTTAAAAAAATTATCTTCAGAACTTAGAGTACTCCCTTTAACTCAACTTCAAACTATACTTTAGAGGCAACATGCTTTCATTTTTAATAGCTACAGCTAATCAGGGTTTCTCTGACTCCTTATAAAATATGTATATGAAATACTTTTGTCACACTGACTCTGCTTACTTAAAAATCCCAATCCTAGAAAGTGAAGGAATGTTATGTAATGATGATGATGATAAAAATAATACTTATATAGTAGTTATCATGTTTCAAGAACTGTTTTATAAGCCAGAATTGATATTAAAATCAGTTAGTACCCAGTAAGGTATGGGCACTGACCAATAAGAAGGGATGCTGGCTGAAAAACATTTTGGGTAAATTGGTGCATATCCTCCAAATATCTGCCCTGCAGAACTACTGCTTAATCTTCCCAGATTATCTTCAACCATTATCTCAGGCTTATCACTTAGGAATTCTGCCATAATGAAATTTTCTTGCTTAATTTCTCCCATCATATATTTACCCTCTCCCAATTTTAAGAAGAAAAGTTATTCTGTTTTCCCTATACAACTTTACCATCTTCACTGAACAGGATTGAGAGTATTTTCCATCTGAATGTCCTGCTTCTCACAATAATTCTTTCTTTGCTCTCTTTCTAGACTCTCCCTCTAGTGAAACCCAAAAGCTGCTCTGAGCTACAGTTAATGAATACATTCAACAGTTGTTACAAGCTTTCAGTTTTGCAAGTTTTATATAGGAGGAGAAGTTCGTAGGTGGTACAAACGGTGAATGCACTAAACTAACTGAAAGGTTGGAGGCTCAAGTCCACCCAGATACACCTCAGAAAAAAGGCCTGGAGACCTACTTCCGAAATATCAGCCACCAAAAACCCTATGGAGCACAGTTTGGCTCTGACACACATGGGATTGCCATGAGTTGGAATCGACTTGATGGCAACTGGTATATTCAAGGAAGAACGTTTGAACTGTTATGAAAGGATGTGTTACCTTTCCAGAACACTCTATCTGGGTCCCAGTAGAGGAGGTGCCACACAGGAGCATGCGTAGCTATAAAATTGGACTGGCCAGGAGGAACCAGGTAGGGGACTTCAGTTAAAACAAAAGAGGTCTATGATACCACAGGACAAGCACATTCCTAAGTAGCAGATACATCTGAAAGAATCAGGTGTATGTACGCCATGGGACAGGAAGGCCAGTGCTTGAATGCAAGGAAACCATTCAGTGGATGTTCAGGGTCAGACCACAAAAGGTAGGCTGGTGAGCACTCAGGTGCAGAAGTGACAGCTAAAGCAGACACCACAGGTCTAGGTCTATGTGGGCAAATCTAGGATGTCAGAGGGGAATCAAACAGCATCAGTGAAGAAAGAGTGTTTACCCTGTTTTATGTGACCTGTTGGACCTAAAGTGTTTATTGAAGCCAGAAGAAGAAAAGATACAGGTGGACTTCGTCTCACGTTAAGAGCGACAGTCTATGCGAGGTTCATTCACGTGTGGCCTTATTCCCTCTGATAAAGTAGCTGAATCAGATGCTCCCTTCCAATTACCTAAAAAATGGAGGAAAGAAAGTATTTAAGTAAACAAAGTACCCATGGTTTCACAAACTGTCCTCTTAAACAATTAATCTGATACTCAGAATCTTATAACTGATTATTCATTTATAACTTTAATAAGGGAAAAAATAGCTGAATAAAAAATAAAATTACAGAACTATCCATGTGACTTTTATTTTATTATGCAATATAATAATATGACAAAATAAAGGCATCCTTGAGAGGGAAGAAAGCCCTGGGGATCTACTTTTGAAAGATCACAGCCATTGAAAACCCTATGGAGCACAGCCCTACTCTGAAACACATGTGGTCATCATGAGTTGAAGTCGACTCAACAACAACTGATTTGCTTTGGTTTTTTGAGATGAGTAATTACTAACAGCGACATTTAAAAGTAAGTGCTACTGTTTACTGATTTCAAATTTTTCATAAAAGCAATCCATTTAGAGTGGAAAAAACAGGTTTGTTTGCGGACATCAAAACTGCCAACCAGTGTTAAGATTAAACTTAGAGGAACCAAAGATGACACTGGGAATAAGAATCCTGCCATTGATGCTTTATCTTGAATCATTAGGTTTGGAAAAGTACTAAGATGATGAAGAATAAAGTCTTGAAAGGAAATGTGACATCAATGAATCAGAAAAACCCATTGAACCCAAAGATTTCAGTTTCTCAGCCTGTACACACCACCGATACACAATAGGCTGAGGATATGCCAGAGTGAATCATTCATCTAAGATGAAAATTACTCAAAACAGCAGTACATCCTGGTGACCTCTCCTGAAACTCTCCCTACGTTCATCTGGTAAACATCTCCCCCCGTCCTTTCATTCCTTTCCCCTAGAGCATGTTGATATTGAATTGTTAAGAGGAGTCAACATCAAAATGGGATAAGTAAATACACTACTGAACGAACCACAATTTAAAAGACTTGCACCTGGAAGGAAAACAGTAAGACATTTGAGTTAAGGGCTATTATGAACATAAATTTTTATTATGCTTACATGTTTATCTTCCTTATTTTTGGAATAAATAGTACAAGAATCAGACAGACATATACAAAAAAACAACAAAACAGTTGCTGCCAAGTTGGTTCAGACTCATGGCCACTCATGTCTCAGAGTAGAACTCTGCTCCATAGGGTTTTCAATGAAAGGAGATCTTCCAAGGGGGCCTCTGGGTGGTCAAACCTCCAACTTGTCACTTACCAGCCAAACACATTAACTGTTTACACCACCTGGGGAAAGTGTCTACACAATAAGTGTGAGAAGACAGGGCACTATTTATGTGTGGCATTTTCCACAGGTCAAAACGAAAATTAAAAAAAAGAAAGAAAACACCCAGCCCTGAGAGCTAAAAGTGTTATTTGGGTTAGCAGCCCAAAAGAGCTAGGGTGGAGGAGTCACAATGAGGCCAACTTACTGTAAAACAAGCCATGTTCACATCATGACTGGGTGGAGTTAAAATCTATTGAGTACCTCACTTCTGAGTTCATTTTGTTACACATTGTAGATTAAAAGGAACAGTACTTTATCAGACAGATTTTGTTGGGTTTTTGGGGGTGCACAGGTAAGGGATAAGGTGATTGAGACTGTACGTCAGGTTGAAACACTGCCTTAAATTCCCTGAGTGACAATGGGAAATTTCCAAAATCCTCAATATTTCTCTAAGGCTCAAATTCCAAGTCTGTTTTTATCCTCAAATAGTTTTTCTTCTCTCTCTCTCTCTGTGTATATATTTCATATATGAACTTCAAATATATATATATATTTAAAATCCACTCTAAGTACTCTGATATATATGCTTAACAGGGCATATATTTACACCTACAGCAAAGTGATCTTCACATATCTAACTCAGTTTGGATATAGGGTTCATTGCCTTTCGAACTAGCAATTCTGGTCATGATCTTGGACCTGGACCTGGACTTCCTCAGTGAAGACAGACCTTATCATATCTGTCTGGCCAACACTCCTTTTTTCTAAGGAATAACTTGCATTGAGGCAAGGTTGGTGCAGGTCTTTGCAGACAGGAAGACCAACCTTGGACTTACCACTGATACTGTAATAAGAAAATACCATTTTATGCTTCAGGCAGACAAAAAGGCAAGAGATCACTGGGCCGTATACTGCTGTTTTCTTCTGAGATGGTGACAGGACTAACTCCAGCTGAGATGGCAGCGAGCCTTAACTGGGAAGGGCTCTGTAATGGATTGAATTGTGTCCTCCTGAAAATTTATGCTGGAACCCTATACCTGTGAATGTAATCTAACCTAATGTAATGCAATCACTTTGCATAATGCAATCTAATGTAATGTAATCAGTCATTCAGTTGAGGACATTCCAGTGTAGGGTGGATCCTAAACTTAATCACTTTGAGTTATGTAAAGAGCAGCATAGACACTGAAATTCAGGAGGAAGAGGATGATGGATAGCAGAGACAGGTGCATCTACAAGCCCAGGAACTCCAAAGATAGCTGGCAGCTACCAGAAGCTGAAACAGACAGGGAGGGATCTTCCACTAGACCTATACCCTGAATTCGGACTTCTAGCTTCCTGAACTGTGAGAAAATACATTTCTGTTCTTTAAAGCTACCACTTATGGTATTTCTGTTACAACAACACTAGGTTACTAAGACAGCCTGTTTGCTTACAGTTTTCTGATCAGCCTCTGTTTCTTCTCTGGTTTTACTGCTGATCTGAACTAGTGAGCAGCAAAAGCATCTGCTGGCTCAGCAGTCTGATACAGGAGGGGCCGGTCAGTAATGTTGTTTTAGGTTGCATGCTCTGAGATATGCCAAAGTCCTTGTACTCCTTCTCAACCAGGGGATTTTCTATTTCACTCCTTGGTTCTTTAACCATCTGGAGCCTGAGAAGTTTTTTTTCCTTTGTTTTTTCTTTTTGCTTCTTGGTCAGCAGGAAGAGCACTATAATAACTTAGTGAGATACCTGTCTTCTTTTATATCAGACTATAAACCTGGAATTAAAAATCACTTAATCTCTGATTTGATACTTTTGTGAATTTCATAGAGGACTTGAGAATCTGCTTTGAGAAGCTGTATGTGCAAAAGCTATCCTTAGAGCTACACTCAAATGCTTGCTCAAGTATCCCAAAAAGCAGGTAATCCCATCTTAGTTTCCTAGTGCTGCTGTAACACAAATACCACAAGTGGGTGGCTTTAAAAAACAGATATTTTGTAACTGAATTGTACATGTAGAAACTGTTGAATTGGTGTATGTTCTGCTGTGTGTATTCTCAACAACAACACTTAAATCGACAACATTCCTCACTTATCGACACAGTTAGGTTTCAAAGACCACACTGTTATGCAAAAATCGGCATTATGCAAAAATGGAAGATGATCACATCAGATCACAAAATGAAGATGACTGCATCGTTACATAACTACTAAATTACATGATTATATAACTGCCCAATTACATCATTACATAACTGCCAAATTCATCATTTCATAACTGCCAAACTACTGAGAATCATGGCCCAGCCAAGTTGACACATGGTATGATTAATTACTTTTGTGTGTGGCCTTTCTAGCCATGGTCTTGTAACTCCCATCCAGGTGACTGGGCAGGACTGTGTGATAGGGTAATTGTGGCCTACCAAGGGGATTGGTCAGTTTTGTCCTAAAGGAGAGCCAATTCCAGAGTGAGAGGAGGATCCTACCACCACCAAAGAAGAATAGCCAGGAGTGGAAAGCACATCTTTTAGACCTGGGATCCCTGCGCTTAGACTCTCCTGGGGGCAGGAGTCCAAGAGAGAGAGCAAGCTGAAACCCTGAAGACGGTGAGAAGTCATGGCAGGAGAGAGACCTGGCAGCAGAGAGCCGGCGGCAGGAGACAGTGCAGTGGGCTTCCTGGGCCATGGAGAGAAAAAGCTGAGTGCCTTTGGGGAGAGGCCTAGGGCCAGGGAGAGGTGTACCTGAGAACACGGCTAGGAATAGGCTGTCCTGATGGAAGAACTTTATCTTGAGTGTTCCTGAGCCTGAATTGCAACTGTTACTTCCCTAATAAACCCCATAATCGTGAGTATGGTCTGTGAGTTCTGTCTGGCCATTGCAATGAATTATCAAACCCAGCGGAGAAGTAGAGAGTGCTGTGTGAGGGACGGTTGGTGTCAGAATTAGTAAAGATGGTGGAGAGAGGAGGTTTGTCTGACCTCCACCTCATGGGAGTTAGCCTTGCGCTGTTGATCTTGCTTCTCCTCCCCCCTTGTGGGGTTGGAGGACATCAGACACTGCTTCCATGCCATACATAACCTCAACCATCACAGCCAGTGTTACACTTCCCTTGCACCCTAGCGTTTGTTACTGCCAGATGTACAGCATTAATGCACAAAATAGTCAGGATTTACTATTGTCGTAAATGCGAAATGTTGGATAATGAGATCATTGTTGAGTGAGAAGTAGGTGTATTTAAAATAAAAAAAAAAAAAAAAAAAAACCCAGAAATTTATTTCCTCACAGTTCAGGAGGCTAGAAGTCTGAATTCAGGGCACTGGCTCTAGGAGAAGGCTCTCTCTCTCTCTGTCAGCTCTAGGGGAAGATCCTTGTCTGTCCCAGCATTCCAGTTTCCATGGCCATTTTCACATGGCATGGCATCTATCTTCCTCCAATTGTGCTTGCTTGACCCTGTGTCTGTGCTGCTCATTATAACTCAGAAGTGATTAGGTTTAGGACACACCCTACACTGATATGGCCTCATTAACATAACAAAGAAAATATTGTTCCCAAATGAGATTATATCCACAGGTATGTTGTTGTTGTGTGCCATCTAGTCAATTCCAACTCATATCAACCTGATATGACACAGCAGGACTTCCCCATAGGGTTTCCCTTTACAGGAGAAGATTACCAGGTCTTTTCTCCCTCAGGGCTGCTGAGTGGGTTCGAATCGCCAACCTTTCGTTTCCAGCCTAGTGCTTAACCATTGTGCCACCAGGGTCCTTATCCACAGGTGTAGGGGTTAGGACTCCAACACATTTTGGGGGATACAATTCATTCCATAACAGCCCCAAACCAAAGCATCAGAGATTTTTATTATTATAACTGGCCTTCTTATAGTAAGAATATAAAACCTGTGTGATGGAGTAGAGGTGTACAAATTTTTAGTTAATTGACAAATAATTCCTGTCTATTGAAACACCAAGTTTCTTACTTACAAAAATAACACATGGCAACGTAGAAAATGTAGAAATTTCGAAAAAGTATAATGAAGAGGAAAAAAAAATCACAAGACGGGTGCTTTTTGATAATAAAATATTCTTACTTCGAAGCTAGAGGGCAAAGATCATTTAACCCCAGGGTAGAATACAAGTTAGGCTCTCTGCTTTTGAAATGGAATGTCAGCCCAACCGCTGAACTATACTTGAACTACTTGAACTATATATAAAACGAGTGTACTTCTGAAACTCACTGTGGAACTCAAGCTCAGGACTTGCTTATGCCAAAACAGCGCTTTGGCCAATTGATAAAGACAATTAAAAAAAAAAATGCCAAGTATCCATCCTTCTCATTTTTCTGTGTTCTATCCTGTGTCAAGTTAGAGCATCATAAAGCAACATGACTACCAAAAAACCAGAAACCAAACCCGCTGCCACTGAGTTGATTCTGACTCATAGCCACCCTACAGGATAGGGTAGAACTGCCGCATAGAGTTTCCAAGGAGTACCTGCTGGATTTGGCAGCTGTAGCACCTAACCACTATGCCACCAGAGTTTCCAAATGACTACAGACTTCATTTAATCCTTAGCCCTATTGTCTACTTCTGTGGGCTCTCCATCATTCCCTTGATTCTAATCTATATTCCCATTTTTCCAATGACTCTGAAATCTATATATTTAGCCCCAGCACTCTCCTGAGTTCCAGATTCCTAATTTCAACTGAAGGAGCCCTGGTGGTGCAGTGGTTAAGCACTCAGCCGCTAACTGAAAGGTCAGTAGTTTGAACCCACCAGCTGCTCCACGGGAGAAAGATGTGACAGTCGGCTTCCATAAAGATTATAGCATTGGAAACCCTATAGGGCTGTTCTGCTCTGTCCTATAGGGTCACTATCAGTTGTAATCAACTCGACAGCAATGTGTTTGGTTTTTAATTTCAACTGACTAAAAAAATCCAAATTAATATTCTGCAGGCATTTCCATCTAAGCAGGTCCAACTCATCATTCCCCATCTTCTTCATCACTCCCCTCACGCCTTCTCTTGGTCATTATTCACTTATAAGTCCAACTTAGAAACCTTGGCATAGTCCTTGGCTCCTTCCATTTTTCCATCCAATAAGTCAAAAAGTCTTGTTGATTCTCCCTGTGGAGTGCTCCTCCTTCCTTCATTCTTACTGTCATAGTTGAGATCCTCATCAGCTTACCCAGCCATTAGTCTATCTCCCACTCATCAATCCTAAACACCACTTCTACTTATCTGTTGTTATTAGGTGCCATCAAGTTGATTTTAACTCATAGTGACCCCATGTGACAGAGTAGAACTGCCCCATAGAGGTTTCTAGGCTATAATCTTTATGGGAGCAGATCTCAGGTCTTTCTTCTGTGTAGCGCTGGGTGGGTTCAAACAGCCAACCTTTCAGTTAATAGCCAAGTTCTTAACCATTGCACCACCAGGGTTCTTTACCTCTGCAAATGTGAAATACAAAGTTGAACATGGCACTCTCCTATTTAAAAGCCTTCCATAACTGACCATGACAAAGTAGAGAGGGTTCAGGTCCTCAGCATGTCTTTCAAGGTCTTTTAAAATTTGCCCCAACCTACTTTTTAGGACTCAGCTATCACCACTCAGGGCCCTTGACATTCTCAGAACAGGTTTTTAAAAATTCTCTTTGTCCTTGTATATTCTATTCCTTTTAAATAATATCCCCCCTCTCTTCACTTCTCTTTTCACTTTTTGAATTATTATTCAAAATCTAGCTGTCGTGTCAACACTTCAGTGGTGTCTTCATACTCAGTAGAGAGACTTGTGGTTTATTGCACTTCATAACGATATCAGTAAATCCTGGCCCCCAACAACAACCCTGATAAGGTATATAAGCTCCCTGGGCTTTACTTTCCTTGTCTGTAAAAAGGGGATAATAATAGTACCTAATTCATAGGATTGTAGTGACATTTAAACTAAACAGCATAGGGTACTTGGCATAAGCACTCGATAACAGCATTTACCGTACTGAATCATGCTCTTTTTGCTACCATGTAAGAATGTCTTACCAGACTGCGAGCTGTTATTAAGTAAGCAGCAAATCTTGTTCATCTTTGTGTTCAGTAATGGTTTTTTGAAAAACCAGAGAGATTAAGTGACTTGCTTAGGCTAATGGGAAAAACTAACTGGCTACAGCCCAGGTCTCAAGCTGTGCAGAAAGCTCTCTATCACTCCACCTGCTGTACTGTAAATACAGTTCCTGCTGCACTGTGCCAGAGACATATCATTTTAGGGCTGAAATTTTAGGGCTTTGAGGTCATGAAGCTCTACGTTTCCTATAACTATCAGGGAAATTAAAAAGAAAGTCTGTTTCTAAGCGTTTCCAGCTCTAGGTTTATGGGACTTCACTCACTGTTTGTTGTTGTTAGCCTGCCATTGAGTTGTCTCCAATTCATGAAGATCCCATGTACAACAGAACAAAACACTGCCCAGTCCTGTGCCAAATTTACCATCACTGGTATGCTTGAGCCCACTGTTGCAGCCACTGTATATTTTGAGGGCCTTCCAACCTAGGGAGGTTCTCTTTCAGCACTATATCAAACAACATTCTGTTGTGATCCGTAGGGTTTTCATTGGCTAATTTTCAGAAGCAGATCACCAGGCCTTTCTTCCTAGTCTGTCTTAGTCTGGAAGCTCTGCTGAAACCTGTCCACCATGGGTGACCCTGCTGGTATCTGAAATACAGGTGGCAGAGCTTCCAGCATCACAGCAACATGCAAGCTGTCACAGTACGACAACTGACAGACAGGTGGTGGTCACTCACTATAGCAATGCTGTTTCTAATTGTCTTATTATAGTTTCCTTTTTTTTCTGTGCTTTTCTAGTGAGTAAATACTGGTATTTATACAGATATGTTTTGTTGGCAAACAGAAAGGTTTCACTGGGCCTCACATCTATTTAGGCCTGAATCAGTTTTGAAATAAAAAATTTTGCAACTTGAGTAACACCATCAATAGCTCTTCTTCTTTTCTGATTCAATCTGATGTAGGTAAATATTTCAAGTAATAGGTTAATTAACCATTATTTAATAAA